GATGTCTGAATCAAGACATCCTACTAAAGATTCAGCAAAAGTGGGAAGGGGACCTAGAGTTTTCTTTATCTTAGACACAAATCTGCCAAAGCACAAGCAAAACAACTTTTTTCCTCATTTAGTTAAAGAAAATTGTCATCCATCTGACTTTTAATAGTCCAAGAGTGAATATAACAGAAATAGTAAAGGCCCCAAAATAGAACCCTGTGGCACTCCACGGGCTAGAGAAGTGGAAGAGGACCTGAACTTAGAAGCAGGCACAGAAATGAAGAAAGCCACTCCAAAGCAGGCTTTTATACACCCACCTAGCATCTCATGTTAGCTAACAGTTGAAGTCATTAGCTAACAGAGCAAAGCTGTTAGCTAAACATTGCAGATTACTGGTTGAAATTAGATACTTTAATAGTTAATCACAAATAATTAGTATATAATTTTATTAAATAGATAATAAAAGCAGTGAGTGAATGGTTGAAAAACGCAGTACATTATAGGTTGAAGAAAGCTAGTCCTTCCAGAGTACTTGAGTTTTCTTTAAATACTAAGATACTGTTCTTTTTACTTATTTAATAGACATAACCATGTATCCCAACATGAAGTAATGTTATTTAAAAAAATCACTGTCATGTAAAAATATCTAAAAATGTTGGTATTGATCAGGCTAAAATAACCTGGTGATTTTATATGAGTTTATCTGGATGTTTAGGAATCAGGAAATGACCCACATTTGGGGTTATTTCTTGATGGTTATCTATAGTTTCAGGGATTTTTTTCGTTGTTTCATTGTCTTGTGTTTTTTTCCCTATTGATATGCTGATATACGTTAGGTTCCTTTGATGGTAATCTGTTAACCTTTAGTAAAAATGTCACATCTGTGTTTCAACGTGATTTCTTGTGTACACTGCACTAAATTACTCAAATCAGAATTTTAAAAATGCTTATTCGATGTTTCTGTGCATTTTCAAATTATTTTCAGAAACTGTACACAAGCATCCGTAGTGAGCCGTTCAAAATCCCAGAGGATGATGGGAATGACCTCACACTGACGTTTTTTAATCCAGACCGCGAGGGTTGGCTCCTTAAAATAGGTGAGATGAAGAAACTAACACCACACGATAAACCCGGACTCCAAGACAGGACGTCAGAGCTTCTCTTTGCTCGTGTGTCTAATGTCTTGTTTGCTTCATTGCAGGTGGTCGAGTTAAAACCTGGAAGAGAAG